GGGCTTCCTTCCCCACCCTCCCAGGCCCTCAGCAGATCGGAACAAGTGACAAGTACCTCGGCCAGGAACGCCGTGGAGGTGACCCTCTGGATCTCATACACACTGCTCTGTGTGCACACGAGCGCCTTCATCACCAGGGGCAGCCGGGGGCCTGCACACTTGGCCATGGCGCTGTGGAAGGAGGCCACACAGCACAGGTGCTGGGACCTCGGGCTGCTCCGAAGCCACCCAAGCCAACGTGGACCCAAGGGGTTGCCCCCACCTCCCAGCCCGCTTGGTCAAGGGCCCCGGCCCTTAAGGCCCTCGCCCCAGGTGCTGAACCCTGAATATCCTCCCTCCCTAGTATCCTAGCCCACCTCACCAGGCCTCCGTAGAGGGGCCTTCCCGCTGCCCCCCACCCCGAGACTGTCAACGTGGCCAGAAGCTCAGAGCTGCATTGGTGGCCTCTCCGCTTCCACGCACGTGCCAGAGGCCCCAAGCTGGGCTCACTGGCTCCCAGGTGCCCCTAAATATCTGCTGTCAGAGAGCCTGGCCTACTGTGCCTCAGCGGTGCTGGAGCCTGTGTGCAGGGGCACGGCCCCCTTACCTGGCCAGCCGGGTGACCCCCTCCTCGTGTCCTGCTGAGGTCCTGAGCAGCTGCCAGCCCCCCTCCAGCTCCACACGCCGCACCACGTCCTCATTACCCCCCCGGAGCAGCATAGCCTGCAGAGCATCCACCGCGCAGCTGCGGGACACGCGGGGGTGGGTTTGGGGGGCAGGGTGAGGGCGGCAGAGGCCCCGTGTGTCCCTCTGCTCCGTACCATACGCACAGACCCGTGCTCTTGGGGAGCAGCCTCCCCTCCTCTCTGGTCTCAAGCTGCTGAGACATCTGGCCACCCATCCCCCACGATGGGCAGCGTCCCCAAGACCCTCTGGAAGCAGGCAGGGCCCTCCGGCACTTTTAGGGTAACAACCAACAGCTTTTGTCCCTTGCTTTAAAGACCTTCATTAATTAAACTAAGACAAGAAGAAAAAGAAAACAAAACCGTTAACAAAAATGAACCCAAAAGACAGATCGGCGTCTGACTCTTCTTGCCTGGGCAGCACGGAGCCTTCGGATGAGTGCCTGGGAAACCCAGTGTCGGTGGGCAGGGCGGAGCAGGGTCTCCAAAGGCCTGGGGCTGTGACTGCACCACAGACGTGTCTGGCCTCAGACATGCCCGACACCCTGAGAATCAGGCTCTGTTCCTGCACCTAAGTCCCCTGCTTTCGCGTGCGCACAGCCACACCCACCCTGGGACACCCCGGAGCCCAAGGAGGGGACCACAGATGGGGCTCTGTGCCAGTGAGGAAGGGCCTCCCACCTGGGAGCCAGGATGTGCCCGGCTCCCTCTAGAAACTCGGCCAGGGCTGGGCTGACCCTGCTGCTGTGCCTGCTCCCACAGCCCTGCAGGCACTTGGCTCTCCTGTCTCCCCGGTTGGTGGGGGCTGCGCCCACGGGGCCCAGCTGGGGCACGCGGGGCTGGCAGCGGGCAGGCCGCAGGGGCACGGCCCATGGTCCCGGGTCGGGGGTGGGGGGTTGGGGGGTGGGGAGCAGCATCGGTCTGGCACCCGGGAGAACCTCACACCAAAGCCCGAGGCCCGAAGAGAGCTCGTCGGGGCTCCCGGAACCCCACGTGGGGAGCCTTGGGGCCACAGCAGCCCTGGCCCGGTGTTGACCTCGCCCCTGCGAGTGGCCACCTCTCACTCCAGGCCTCACGCTGGCCTCCAGATGCGTGTGGCCCCGCACCGCCGGCCCTGGGAGCTCCCGGCCCAGGGTGGACGCTTGACCTGACGTGGCCAGCAACTGAGGAAGGGGCATCCACCAGGTGGCCTGCCTTTGACCAAGACGGCTCATTTAGGGCGATTTTTGGCTACAGCCAATCTAAAGTGGGGAGATGCAGGTTTGGCTGAGAAGGCGCCTCCCTGGCTCGTCCACCCCGCTGCCCGGAGCTCTTACGGATGCGGCCCGTACCGTGGCCTGACGGGCCTCCTCTACCTGCGCCTGGCTCTGCGCACGTCTCAGCTCGGGGTGGCAGCCCAGGGACCCCGCTGAGGGCTCACGAGCTGTGGCGTGCAGTCCCGGCGGTGTTTGCCAGCGCATTCGCATTTTCTGCTTGGTCTGCGCAGAGCCGGGGGGGCTCCGGGCTCCGGCACGCGGCCCCTCCCAGAGCGCCCGGGCCGGGGCCGCTCCGGCGGCGGGGCGGGGCGTACTGACGCTGCCCCCGTGTGTCCCCACCACGGGGCCCGGGGCCCATCCGGCCCCACGCGCCTGGAACGGGTGGGGAGGTCTGCAGGCCCCGGGGTATCAGCTTCCTCCCTTTGCCCTGTGGCCCCGGGGCCGTCGTTTGGGCTCCGAAGTGCCACTATGGTGGGCCCAGGGACCGACGCCCGAGCTGTTGAAGCCCTCGGCCCACCACCTCCCTCAAGCAGCTCCACCCTGCCTGTCCCGCTCTCCCGCCCCAGGGCCCACTTGACAGACCACCAGGGCCCATACCCCCAAAAAGAGCAGAGAGGGAAGGTGCCTGCACAGGCCAGTGGTGTGGGGGCTGGTGCTGAGCCCTCCCCGCGGGGCTGGGGATCTGACCCCTGTAAGGGGGCCCTGGGGAGAGGCGGTGAGGCCACCGCACGCTTTCTGCCTGAAGAAGCGGCTCTGGTGCAGAGCGTAGGAGCAGGGACCCAGGGCTGAGCACCGAGGCTGCAGACCCGGGGGTGGAGGTGGGGGCTCAGCCCAGGCCCCACATGCACCCCGAATACTCCCTGCAGCCCCACCTCCCGGAAGGCGGTGCTACTCTGGGCCCACCCGAGTGTCCCCACACAGCCCCTGCGGGCCACCCTGAGGACGGCACCACCCCACAGACTTGGGGCCGCCTCTCCCACGGTGCCTGTCCCAGACACAGCCCGAGGAAACCGCGCCGCCAGGGTGGACAGCGTAGCCTGGAACATCATCCCTGGGGCGGGGGGCGGCGGGGCGCAGTGGTGCCGCGGCGGCAGAGGAGGAGCCGGTTACCTGCAGGGCTCGAGGCTCCTCGGGGCCACAGCCGAGCCCACGCTCCTCCTCTCCTTGGCCTGCAGGCTCCGGGGCAGCAGGACGCCCAGGGTGCAGCTGACCCGCAGCAGGAGCGCGGCAAACAGCTGTGGGTACAGCTCGAGCACCGCGGGCCCAGACTCCAGGGCGCTCAGGACCTCGTGCAGGGCACACGTGGCCTGCGGACAGGGGCCGCTTCAGGCTCAGCCCTCCCGCCGGAGCCCTTTCTAACGGGGCTGGCGACGGTGAAGGCTGGGCTCTGCACCCCCAGAACCACACCAGCCCGAAGCCCCCGCCGGGCTGAGAGGTCTCGGTCCTGG